TAGACCCTGCTTTTTAATCTGCCTGCATGTTCCGGGCCCTCGGTGCAGGAGCACCCCAGCCCTCACAGACCACCGCAGGACGAACATCGCGAGCATCTGAGCTCGAGAATCAGCCGGTCCCAACCAAACTGCTTGTGGCTAACAACGTGATTGTTCATATTCCTATTTAAAAATTAAAAGCTCGAGCTCCACGTTGGCCTGATGAAGTTGTTTTTCAGTTCAAGTAAATAATAGAAAACCAAGAGGCCGGTTCAAGCAGTATCTTCTGTGGAAATCTTAACACTGAAAACACGCAGAGGAAATTAATGCCTCTGGGTTTGTTCACTCACCTGAAAATGGGGATAACACAACAGCTGTCAGGGCTAAGCGTGACGGTATGAGTGAAATCGCCCTGCATGCGTGTGACAGGGGAACAGTGGCTGCTTTAGGATCGAATACATTGTTCTCTAATAAAATCCTATCATGAGGGTTAGGAAAAGTTAACCAAGAGTAACTTCCAATTGACCGCAAATGCTTTCAGACACAGTAGGCCGTGCCGTCCTCAGCAAAGCTGCTTTTCCTCTTCCTCTGGGCCACAGGCAGCCGACCAAAGGCTCCATCCCCTTCCCCATTGCGTGAATTCAAGTCGGGTGGCTCATTTTTGCGCCCTTGTCCTGCCCGCAGAGCAGAGCACAAGGGGCAGAGCCTCAGCTGACCTGCAGTGGACATGTGGCATGAACAGAAAGGAACCTTTTGTCATTTTAAACCACTGAGATTTGAGGGTTGTTACTGTAGCATGACATGGTACTTCCTGACTGAGCAACTTTTACACGCCATGCCTTGCCTGTAGCCAGACCACGTTATCTGTGGTGGCAACTGTTCCAGTAAGTTTACCGATATAATGCCCGCTGAATTATGAGTTTATCACCATGACTACTGAATCATGACCTAAAATCCACGAAATATGAAAAGATGCAGAAATCAACTGAACAGTAAAGATACTTCAATCCAAATCAAGTAGAGGAAGATATTACCTTCAACCTACTCATAGGTGCAGAATTCTATTAAATATTTATCCAAATCCCATTACGAAATGTTGAAATAGGTTACCAAAACAAAACCCCTGTTTAAGATGAAGATTTTAAAATGCCATGGTCCACTGTGAAACTAAACTCCAAGCTGAAAGGCAGGAGCTTGGTATCCTCCAACGACACAGCACAGAAATTGCAGTAAAAAATGGCCATTTGCTCACCTGAGTATGTGCAGAATTATCCTGCAAGTACGTCGCACCTGGGGTGCACATCCTGGTCTCTGAATTCTAACCGTATGGCGGTCCTGATAGCATCTTGGCCCTCCCAAGATATATAAGTTTGTTCCCCTTCATTCGCTAAATTAAATGACTTACCCCAGGGCAGGTATAAAAATATTTCATATTGATAAACTCAGTCAACTTTAGTGATGATAGTAATAATCATGGTGATAAAACTTTCTAGTTAAGTTCAGGAATAAGCTTTACAATCATTGTGACAATCTGTGCACATTTATACTTAAGTTTCTTGAAACATTTAACAAAATCTGACATCAACCTTTTGATTTTCATTCTAAATGTGTGTGATTAATTTGAAGAATTTAAGTTCACAAACAGTACTTGAAAATTTGAAAGCTCAATTTACTATATGTGTAAGTTGGATTTATTTAGTTTTACAGGAGCTAGTTAAGCATTTACAAAGATTTTAAAAGTTAAGTTTTAGGACTGCCCAAATCAGGCCCCTTGAAAGATTTAGGAGAATCAGATACTAAAAAAAAAAAAAATCTCTGTAAAGGTAATGTAAAGTATTTAAGCCTTAAACTCTGTGGGGATTAACCAAGTTTGTTAAGTGGAGCTAATCTAATTATCTAAGGGACTTTTACTCAGTGTTCTTGAATATTAATTAAAAGCCACATAAATTCTTTCTATGCACGAAGGTTTCCTGCCGTAAAAACAAATGATCAAATGGAAGGTTCGCTCTCCTTTCTTAAAACGGATGCTTGCCTCAGTCCTTTTTTCTTTCAAGATATTTTTAATGTCCTTAAAATGTAACTCACCGGTATCCCAAGAATGAAAGGACAAGCACCATATGTACTCACCATCAAATTGGTATTAACTGATCAACACGTAAGTGCACATATAAGAATAACATCTATTGGATGTCGGGCAGGGGGGAGGGGGAAGGAGGGAGGAGGGGACGGGTATTTGTATACACAAAGAGTGCAATGCGCACCACCCGAAGAATGGACATATTTAAAACTCGGACTTGGGGGGGGAGGGGGGACAAGGGCAACATACGTAACCTAAACATCTGTACCCCCATAATATGCTGAAATAAAGAAAAAAATGTAACTCACCAAATTAAAGTCATTATTGAGCCTTTTATTGGCACTACCCTGATGAAAACCATGGGGCAGGTTATAGAGGGAGATGGATTTTGTTTATCTTCCCTCTTGCTACAAATACAACAGTGACCAGAGTACACTGGGAACACTCCAAAGTCCTGGAAGAAATACAAAATTACAAGAGCCACTCCTGGATTCCTTCTTACTCTGACTTCTCCTAAATCCAGGTGTCAAATTATATTATTGATCTCCATCCTATGAAAGACGGGCATAGTATTACATAGTAAGTATTCAATAAATGTCCGATTAATTGTAAGCCAATCTTCTAGTAATTAAGGTACTAATTACGTACAATTGCTAAACAATGCCATTTCACATCAGTTTTCTTAGCTTCCTAATCATATGGTTTTACGTCACTTAACTCAATGCAAGAATTACTCTCTTGGAAGAGATACTAGTCTTCCATCTCACCAGCTAGCAGATTTTACAGCAGTATTATAATAACTGAATCACAGATATTTTAAAAAGCTCAAATACTTTAAAGTAAATCCCAAAGGTACCTGATTCCCAAAGAGCAGAAATTTACAACTGAACATAATACACAAAATACTGTTCTTGAGCAATATAGCTGAAATCATATAAATTTAAGAGAATGTATCCTTGGAAAAAAGGAAGTTAACAAGCCAAACAAAATAAATAATAATCATATTTATATAGGTTCAGGTTTTATTTTCATAATTATCTTCCTATAGAAGCAATAATCTGCATTTCTATAACACATTTAATAGTCATTAAAGAGCAGGAAAAAACAGGAATAGCACAGATTCCATAAACAAATACCATACTCTGCATATGTACAGATAAATTCAATATATTAAATATATTTTGTAGACTGACTTCGCTTACAATAGAAAAGAACATTGAAAATCAGATTCTGGGCATATTCATGCAGACTTTCACTTTGGTAAAAGTGATGACACTACAATTCTGGAAAACAATTTTTCTTGCTGTAAACACCAAGTTTTCCACTTCTGTCTATACTTTCAGGATAAAAGGCTTACATAAGTGGAAAAATAAAATGTATAAATGTGAAACAAATGTCCTTTACTAGACACCACAAAGAATAACCCTAACATCAAAGAAATACCCCGACGTCCTGCATATTCGATCTCAAATGCAGGCAGGGTGTGGGGGAGGTTGCACGTGTACACAGCCTTTTATGTTGCTTAAAGCTCAGCTGCATTACGGTTACAGAATACACTGTACTCCTTTGCTTTAAGTTTTCAATACGTAAGAAGAATAAAATTAAAATTTTTCCCCCAAGGCTGTAATGGGTAATATGGTCTACAAACAGTCAAAATATCTTTACGGTGCTGCCAAATCTGTATTAATTAGCTCAAGTGAACATTAATGTAAGACTCAAGAAATTTCTGATGGGATCTAAGGGAGACAAACAGCAATTATGGGATTTCTGAAACATTAATATGTCTTTAAATGCAAATTCCTAAATATAGTTTTATTTAGATTGTTCATAGTTAATCTCAATACAATTATTGAGAATGAGCTGCTACCTGCAGAACTATGCAAGTAACTTAAGGAATCAAAACACTAAATTTCCTAGTGTTTTGTATCAGACCTACAATGAAGACTGTACACTAACATCCACCCCTCCAGGCACCTGCCAGAGGAGGAGGGTGCTCTGTTTAAGCTCTCCCACAGAACTGTGAATGAATCACTTCTGATACTCTACCTTAGTGTTTCCAGGAAGTCTAGCAAAACTAGGCATGCCATACTCAAATAAGGTCTGACCCTAAAAGAGACAGAGACAGGGCACGAACAAACAGGAAACTCCTTTGGGTAGCATGTGCCTGCGGACGCACGCTGCTGTGTTTGTAGGCTCTTTCCAATGATCAGATTATGAAATGGGTCTGAGCCACACAGGAGAAAAAAGAATGTTTCAAAACTAATATTTTAGGAAATAACTATAAAGGATTAATATACTGGCAGTACAGTGTTTTAAATATATGTCTTTCAAAACCAATTCTTCCCTTTCGGCTAAGTTTTTTATAGTATACAGCATTTCCCATGTAAAGTTTATGGTGTAGTTGTAACTCAAAATAAATCAGAAAATATTCTAGAGGAAAAAAAATGTGTATATAGTAGACTGACAGTAACATCACCTCTTTCTTTGAATGCATAAAAAAGGTCTTCATTAGCTTCCATCTGCTCAAGAACCAAGTAGGTTTGGATGTATTTTTTAGATGGAAGAAATACCCATACTTCAGAGAAGCCTGAAGACATTTACAGAACCACTTTAATATGCTACCTTCAAAATTTTGCAAACCTACATATAAAAGCTTAAGTCCATCTTTTATGGGGCTAAATAATATTTTGAGGCTCAAAATAGCTTCCTGTCCCAATCTCATCTCTGAAAAGATTTAATAATTTAAATGTATCTAATATTGCGAGGGATAAATTTCCTTTTCAAAACAGAAATTTTTAAAGTAATTTTTTTTACCAGTAAACCTTTTAGCAGCAATTATTAAATTAAATGAAAAACAAAATGTTCTAACAATAAATTACAAGAGCCCAAGAGAGAAGACTACCTGCCTGTTGCCCCTTTTGTTTAGAATGTAATTCATCTAGAATTTGGCTTGCAAATTTTAACATCAACTGTGTTAAAAGGTGACAGTACATTTTCTGTTAATTCTTACTGGTGTCTTAGAAAAGCTCTTATCATGGAAAGAAACAAAATGCTTCACAGGTGGTAGATACAATGAGTGATTTGGGGGAAAAGATAACTAAAAATTACTCTTTATTAGTATTTACAATCACGACTGCGACAAAGCGTGGATGCCCTTAAACAAGTCCCAAGTCCATGAGATTCTCCCTTTTTTCCTTTTCTGCAAGGAAAATACTAGCACAGTCCTCCTGAGTACTCATCTTCCTCTTCATCAGCAGCTGCAGTGGTGACGCCATCAGGCTTGGCCTGCGGTGTCGCAGGTGATTTCTTCTTGATTCCCCCTCCTGGAACCACCAAACTCAGGCCCAGCTTAGCATACTGTCAATGACAGAACATGTTCTCAGAAGCTGGGTAGCGAGAACCCTGACATGTTTCAGTTAGCGCTAAAGAGACAGAGCCCAGCTCTCTACCCTCATGAACACCAATTCCTTTCAGGTGGGAAAACAAAACGACAATGCTCTGTTAGAGCCTCATGACCATGACGTGACAGGTACACAACTAGTAAAAATATCAATTAGGTCTTAAACTGACCCGATACTATGATAAGACTCTAAAGTCCTAAGACCAAAAAAACAGGTGTTCACAAATCTACTGAAAAAGAAATGAGAAAAAAATAGAAACTTACACACAAGGTTCACTTTATGTGTAAGGCGTCGTGCGAGGCTGTTTCTCACACGCTCACTAAGGTATGCTTCACAGCAGTCAAGGAAGATGGGTACCAGAGCTCTATTTCTAAACATAAGTCAACTGAGGCTTAGAGACACTTCATAACCTGCATCACACAGCTAGCTGTCACAGAAGCAGGATCCCACAGGTCTACTGAATTACGAAGAACACTAGACGATGGGCCCCTTTCAGAGAGTGAGCTTGCAAGAACTTCTTAATAAAATGAGCAACCTACAGAGGACAACAGATGGAAGGGGAAGCCGAGAAATGAGGCTGATTTAAAAATATGCATGCGATCCACAGAGTTAGATGGCTGTAAACCCACATGACATCACCAGTAATTATCTAAATTACACCAGTAATTATCTAGTAATTATCTAAATCTATGGTGAAATTCAACGCAAGTGGTCAGTTTCTATAAGAGCAGTAGTTTGAGAAGAAAAAGAGGTAGAAAATCTCACAAATCCATGAGAGAAAACAATCTCACTAGAAGCTCTTCCTTTCAAGAAGAAAGAGGGAAGCTACCCAAACAGGCCCACTTACGTCATTGTCCATGTACTTGAAGAGCGGCGAGTTGCAGACCTCGGACACTTGATCTTGGTCTTGCTGGTCGTAACCTTCGAGCAGCTGTTCGAGTGCAGCACAGTCTTCACTGCCATTGAACCCTGGTATGCTACAGGAAGCACAAAGCACACTTCTTCACTTTTTCCTTAAAAGAATACTTCCCAGCCAGGGATGATTCTGCCCTTGGCAGACATCTGACAATGTCTGCAGACGTTCTGGTTGTTACGAGGGAGGAAGCACTACTGGCGTCCAGCGGGCAGGACTAGGGATGCTGCTAAAAACCCTGCGGGGCACGGGACAGCCCACACCAGAGAGCTGTTAGCCAGCCCAGCCCAACGTCCAAGTGGGAGACTGAGAGTGCTCGCTTCAATCACCCCTAACAAGATCCTCCTGCAACGTACAATCTGAGAACCATTATTGTTCCCTTTTTTTGTGTTGTCTCTTTCTTAGAAGGCAAAGAAAGGTGAATGACTCACTCCCATGAAGGTTCCCGGAGAAAAACACAGGAAAGAAAACAACCTGTAAAAATCCTACTGTAAAAGCTAAAATCATAGTTGAGCACTCCTATCACTAATGAAGACTTATTAGAAAAACCAGTTCCATGGCCAGGAACATCTGCCTAAGCAGCAATCTTGGCTGAAGAAACAGCAACGTCAACACTGCAAGTGAATACGGCCCAGACGATGCCTTACCTGTAGCTCTCCCGGACACACCTTTCCGCAGCCACGTAGTCGTTTCTGTGTAGATGAACTAAGACTTGAGCAATTGTTTTCTAAAACAAAAAAGGTGATCATGGTCAAATTTATTTCTATTTAATAAAGTCAATTTCCTAGCAATATCAAAAACACCTGGAATTTAACTTTCAGAATGTTGGTTTGTATAATATATAGATAGTAACTTCCACAGGACACCTGAGAGAAAATATCCTAAAACAGTACTTCTCAAACTCTCATGTCCTGGCATTTGGTTGACGTGAAGACTCTGGAGAGGAGAACCTGAGGAGGACCTTGGGTTCAGCCACTTCTAACAAGTTCTCTAGTGCTGCTGCTACGCTGGTCTGAGGACCACACTTTGAACACAAGCCTTAGAACACAACCACCATGTTTAAGGGAATTTCTTTCAAATATCCATATAGATTTTTATCTTGAAAAGGGATTAAAAAAAGGGGCGGGGACATGTAACTCTACAATTATAATTTTGAATTCTTAAGAAGATACTAGGAAAAAGATGTATGAATGAAAACGTCAGAAAACATAACTGATAGTATTTATAAATCAACATAAAAGCAGTAATAAAATCCAGGACATGACTAATAAAAACTTATCAGCTAAATAGCTCTTCATAAAGTATTTTTCAATCTTTTGAATTTCTATTCTTCGGATAACTTTTACTGATCTATCTTCAAGTTCACTAAGTCTTTCCTTTGTCACCTGATCATGAGATTCAGCTCATCCAGTATTTTATTTCGGATAATGTGTGTTTCAGTCCTAAAATTCCCATTTAGTTCATTTTTATAGTTTCTATAAAAATAAATTTTTTTTCTATCAGAACACAATAGGTCTCCTTTTCTCTTCATTTCGATTGGTATACCTTTGCCTCATGGAGCACTTATGATAGCTACTCCAAAATCTTCATGTGATAATTTCAACCACTGGGTCACTTCCAAGCTGGCAACAGTTGTCTTTTCCCCTGAAAACTGGTCACAGTTTCCTGGTTCTTCCATGTTGAGTAACTTTAAACTGTACTGTGAGTGTTCTGCTGCACAGCCTCTGCTGTGATCTCAGGAGGGTGTGGATGCTTCTAGCAGGCAATCAGCCCAGTTAGGTTCACACTGCATACTGTGTCTTGCTTTTGGTGGGCAGTGGTTCTAATGTTAGTTCAAATCCTTTGTTGTGCAGCTTTGGGTCAGTCCCTTCCAGGGGGCTGTGTGAGACTCAGACAGTAGTTTAAATCTTATTTCAGTTTTCAAAACTCTGCACTCCTACTTTGGGCCTGTCCCACACATGCACAGCTGGGAAGTAAACCCAGGGCTTGTATGGGCCATGCACACACTCAGGGGATTCCTTTTTCCAACTCTCTCCTTTCTGGGATTTTCTCCTCACTCTCTCAGCTCATCTTCCCAGGTCCTCTGGCCAAAGAGACTGGGGTTCTTTTGGAGTTTTCTCAGCCTGAGCCACCATCACAGCTGTAGCTCCATGACTAGGGTTCAACCATGGAGCAATGCCAAGGGAAGAAAAAGAGGAAAATAAGGGGACCTCTTTTCCCAGTTCCTCTGGTTAGAAAAATGGGGTTTCCTTTGGAGTTTTCATTGTACTAGGGCCTCTGCTACCCAGCTCCACAGCTGGGGGCTTCTCTCAGGGTAATGCCATAAGAGGAAATAGAAAAAAACGTGGGCAACTCACTCCCATGTTGGTTGTTTCTCCAAGGGCTTGTTCCCCCACTCTGTCTGCCTGCTTTTATTTACTTTGCAGAGTTTGAGGGTAGCTGTTCTTTGAATTTTATCTGGTAAATTAGCTATAATCGGCAAGAGAGACAGGCTATAGTGGCCTTACTCTGTCTTGGTCAGAAACAGAGACTCATAAATATTATTTTACAAAAACATAGAAATACCCATAGAATCCTATCTTAGGTATTTATTTATACCAATATGAAATATTATATAATGTAAAGCCACAAATGAACACTTTCAAAGAATACCTTATAACAAGTTGGATAATTCTCAATTTCCTTATAAATATTTTTTTCTTTCTGAATAGAGAGGGCCGCCTCATCAAACCTAAAAACAAAACAAAGAAATGTAAAACAAGGCAAATCTAATATGATCTGATCTATATAGCGACGTCACCTTTGTAATGATATTTGTAATATCTGATATTTCAGATTTTAGAGAAACAAAGAGGACAGGTGTTGCTAGCAACTGCTCCATGAGCCATGTTTCCATGTGCTCTGCTCACCTGGCTTGTCTTTTAAATGCCCGACTCTGCTTGTAGGCATCAAGGTGACAAAAGAACTTAAGGATGGGTGAGTTCAAACGTAGAGTTTTACGTTTGGTAAGGACTGTCCATTAATAAGTTATCTACGAAACAAACTGCTTTGTAAAATGCATTAGACCGACAAGTCTCAATTTCATCACCACAGCTTTCTTTCGGCTAAAAGAACATTCAGATGCCCCAAGAGCACCCCCACCTCTGTCTTGTGCTCACCATCACATACCCCTGCTGCCTCAGCGGGCCCCAGTAAGCTGCATGCTGCCTAAGAGGGCAGCGTGAAGGGGAAGCAAGTTCGAGGGCTAAATGAATCCTCCCTGCACCTCCTGTCTGCAACGTTCTTCTTTGTCTTTCCATCTCCTCTCGCACACTCCGCTTTTCTTCCATTCCACCCAATGGCAGATGAAGAGGAAGGAGAGGAAAGGGATCACCAAAATTCTCCCCAAAACCTTCCAGGCCCCTACCCCTTTCTCTCTCCCCCAGCCCTAAATTCATCAAATCCTGATCGGATCCTCCTCTCCCTGAAAAGCTGTAGTATACTCTGAATTCCAGAACTCCTTTAGCAGCACCTAACTAAGGGCTGGATGAATTATGCAGTCTTCACCCATTTCTCCCATCCCAATGAACAATCTGAGGTTACAGAAGTGACCACCAGTGGCCTGGCACTGGGAGTTCACACAGCCCAACAGCTGTACTGTTAGGGTACAAAGGGACAGATTTGTGATCCAAAATAAAAATGCAAAAATGTTCTACTATATGCTCTATTTTTCTGTATGTTAGTTATCTTTTAAAAAAATAGTTGCATACACACACACACACACACACACACACACACACAGTAGCTTGGTTTATGGTTCTACTATATGCTCTATTTTTCTGTATGTTAGTTATCTTTTAAAAAAATAGTTGCATACACACACACACACACACACACACACACACACACACAGTAGCTTGGTTTATGGTAACAAACCAATACTTACATCATGAGTTAAATTAAATTTTTGTGGGCTACACTCTGGCAACTTAGTGCCTCACAAAATAACATTCACTGGAGAAATGCACTCTGAATTTCCAAAGATCAACGTGATAAATTTTTGGAACAAAGCTTATAGGCTGGTTACAGCAGCAGAATTCTAAAATCGCCCCCAAGATTCTCATCCTTCATATACACTGCCCGTATAATCTCCCTTTGAGTGCAGGCGGGACCTCTGAATATGATGGGACGTCGCTCCTGTGTTTAGGATACTTATCAGTTGACTTTGAGTGAATCACCATCTGTATGAGCCTGACACCAGGTGAGCCCGACACCAGGTGAGCCCTTAGAGGGCCTGGGCTCTTGCTGAAGTTAGAGACTGTTGGTCAGAGATGTGCTCCCGATGCCTTTCATCAGCAGCAAACTACCATGCTGTGAACCACCTATGGGCCCGTGTCCAGAACTCAAGGTGCACTCTGGAGCTGACAGTGGGCCCCGGCCGACAGGCAACAAGAAAATAGGGATCTCTGTCACACAGCTGCAAGGAAAAGAATTCTGCCAACACCCAGGGAGCTTGGAAAAGGACCCAAGCCTCAGGTGAAATCACAGCTCCATCAGACCCCTTGATTTCAGCCTGGTGAGATCGTGAGCAGAGGAAGTAGCTACACTGTGTCCAGACTTCTAACCTATAGAAAAGGTGAGGGGATCAGTCAGTGTTGTTTAAAACTGCTGGTTGTGGTAATTTATTATGCAGAAATAGAAAATTAATGCAAGGGAGACTAAATGTATCCATATCATTTGTTAATTGTGACCATGAGCTTATCACAGATCCTGTTTTATAAAATAAATTACATAAGAATATTCTGTGACTGTAATGTCCAGATTTTATCATTCTAGTAGGAATCTCAGTATTTTAAGTTTTCCATATATTTAACTATAAAGACTACATTCTTCACACATGAATTATTTATTTCCTTGGCACAAAAATAGCATTTCCATGTGCTAATATCTACCTAACAAAAGAGCCAAGAGAAAACAGTCTGCATTTATATGGATCTGTAGTCAAAAACATTGATCAACTTTCCTAAAAGTCCATGAAACTGGCATGCAAAGCCATCTGTTTTCAAAATGTATCCAGGAAAGTATCCATTACTTATTATAATCAATCACAGATGACTTCAACTTTCCTATCAAGTAGTTCTTAATATTCCTACCAAAATAAAATGTATCTGGTTTTGCTGAAGACAGGATACACTGTTTTCATCTTCTTATAATTAAAAAAAAGAGACCCAAATAAAATTAAAAATGTAAACTTCACAGAAATTATGTACATGTGGCAGGAAACTGTCATAGAACGTCATTCATCAGATGTCATTCAACAGACACCTTCCTCGCCATGACTCAAACTCTTGCTCTGGCCCCAACTATTAATATTTCCTGAACTCCAAAATATATATTTTAAACTATCTACAAAAATTTTTAGCCTATTTGTTATATTCCCAACTACGCTTATAATCATGAGTGATAAGTTTGCTTCTATACTCCTCACCTCAGTTATTAATGGCATCATGGTCATGACAGTTACCCAAGACAGAAACCCAGTGACTCTCTTAACCGTACACACCCCCGAACACATACACACCCAGCCCTCCCTGCGTTCAAGATCTAGTGACTGTCTCGGATGACGGGTGCACTTTTCTTTGCTAATTGAGTGGGATTTGCTTCACTGAGGAAAAACACACTGTGTGCTGGTCTGCTTCCTGCTCTGGAACCTCTCTGGAAGGCCAAGGGATGTAAGCCCTAAGCCATGATCAACCTGCTGGAAAGGCCTTTCTAGGAGGCAATGAGGGCTCTGGTCTTGGACTGACTCTGAGGCCAACCCAGATGCTACCCAAATGAAATTCTGAATCACGACTGAATTATGGCTCTCCAGAACTGAAGGAAAAGCAAGAGACTAATATATTAAATACATTAACTTTGCTATGCTAAATATAAAGTATTGTTACATTAGGACTAAATCTTACAGTCTCACGTTAATGTAAAAACATAAGCGTATTAACTAAATATAACAAGCATAATTGTAAATTTTATGCCACACACTCTATTAGCAGATATTACTTGTGTAAAGTATAAAATTGCCACTTGTGCTAGTTCTGTTAGGAAATTAATGCAATCAGATTGTAATTTAAGTACATACTGAAGTTACTCAAATAACACTTACATTTTCACAATTATCTTTCCATTAGTATAAACTCTCCATGTTTTTTCCTACCCCGCACTACTTAAGTTCCTGATTAGAAGTACCACGGCAGCAGATTTTTAATTCTTTCATACAGCAGTCACCCAAGAACATTTTTTGAAATATCATATTCCCGAATAAATTTAAATCAATTTTTACATTGTTACACAATTCAAAAATATATTTCCATAAAATTTTTGTTCAAACACTGCAGAAAATATTTTAAAATGCATTTTTACTAAAAAGAGACAAAATAATAAAACAAAATCATGAAGTAAATAAAAGACCCAATTGGTTGCCCGAGATTTATACATTTCCACAGTCCACCTTTGAAGCATATCCACACACCAGTCTCACTTCTGCTGCTAATTCAATTCACACCTTCCCCCTCCACTGCAGCTGTGAAGAAAACTCAGTACTTGTTTTAGAACAATGGTTTTCACTACCCCTGTCACAACCAATTGGCAATGTTTTCAGAATGATGACGGCTACTAGCCCTAAGGGAGCTCCCTAGAGGAACACACACAGGTAGCTGGAGGCGGGACTCAGCCTACCTCCAGGGGGGATCCTGGCCCCTCTCCCCTCCTTTGCTATTCCCCCTAAACCACAGTTTTAGATAATCTATGTTTGGGAAACAAAAGGGCAAAAGATGACATGAAAAGGAGAAACACTTTAGGGTAGCTGAAGCAGAGTGGACCCCACACAGCGCTGTCCTCACCTTCTGGAACTTCACATCTTCCACCTTCCCCGGGGTCCTACAGGAAGGGGCCTAGTGCTCTATCAAGGCACTAGGAGCCTTAGGGGAGGACTGTTAGGAGGTGGAATGGATGGGAAAAGGACATAAAGATATGCCAGGACTTGACTACTGTCTGCTCTGTAATGGGAACAGTCAAGGACACTCTTCTCTGTTTCTACCATGCGGGGCCCTGCTCACAAGAGTCAGAATCCGGGTAATACCTTCCAGTTCAGCTGTTCGGCAACGGCCTGGGAGCCACCACCAGGAACAGCTTAGTCTCTGTCCCCAACACTTTCAGGGACTAAAATGAACCATTTATAAGTTGGGAATTGTACATCTAAATGAGAAGGTTTAATAGTTACTTCTAGATTAAGGTATTCTCATGTTCCTCTAAACCTATTTGAATAATATTTTAGAATCTGCAGTCTTCATGATGAAAAAATTTAACTGAGTCTCAGAAAGGAAGAGATAGATTCATTAGTCATAATGTATCTTGGGTCTTTTCTGTCACTGCAAAGCTATGGAAAAATTTCAACTAAGATACCTATGTCCAGATTTACAATCCCCTAAAAGTGTTGACCTTAAATATTATTGAGAATTTGGCAAACAGAATTTTATTAATCATATAAATTGTTTACTAACTGTAAATTGAGGTAAAGTAAAAAACAAAAGGAAAATCCAATAGGATTCTAGCTTTCTGGGGTTCAACTATTTGTGCCTTAATTTATATGCTTAAAGGATAAAAAATGGATAAAAAAAGGATAAAAAAATTTAATGACACTACTTGGCTGTCAAGAACTGTCAACTTCATACGTAAACATTTAGGGCATCTTTGTCATTTATCCCAATATTCTTACTTTTCCTCAAGAGAGACATACTACAGCTGATCTTAGGCAAAAGGCCAAGACGGTATGTGGAAGACATTATGATCTAACCAAATAACAGATGAAGAAAACCATTCTCTCTGATGCTGCTAAGCCATGCACGAACACAAACTCAATGCGTGATAAACTTTGGCATTACACTTTAGAAAAACAGATCTTTTAACACTTAATTCTATGTGTCTACCGTCTAGTAGATGTCAATTTTTCCACTGAGTGGCCAGACGTTGTCTATAGCTGACACCATATTACTCACCAGTCAAATGTGGATTCAAAGTACACATGGACACACAAGGATACAGTTTTGAAAGACATACCTGCGTCCTCGTACTAGCAGTCTGGAAGCTTTTCCTAGTAATTCAACTGCCTGTCGTAAGCGTTCCTCATTCTGAAGGAATCAAAGAAAAAGAAATATTGGCTGCATTAATGCAGAAATCTTTTTCTCTCCCAATATTTATTTTATAAAGAAGTAATGGCACTGCATCAAGGGGGAACACCAAAGCTGCTAACCCACTTCACTATTCTCTAATAGAAAAAAAGAAACACAGTTCAGTTGTGAGCATGGAAAAAACATTTCTGTTTTCCTATATATTATGAATGTAAACATTCTAAGTAATTAAAGAAAAAATTAAAATTCAAACTTACTTCAAACACATTAGCTGTCTGCTGATACAACTGCACAGCCTTTTCTGGATCTACATTTTCTATAAGCCTGAATTAGACAAGAAAATTTGACTTATATGAAAACCAGAAAACTTTTTCAAAGGACATCATAAAACAAAAAGACAATGACTTCTATGCAGAGATGGGTGCTTCTAACAGCAGTTCCACACACTCACTTTCCGGCTCGCTCCAACGCCATGGCCGCGGTGTCAGGGGTGCCGTTTTCTAGATACATCATGCTGGCCTTCTCAATGAGCTGCACAGCCTCTGATAGTTTCTGCATCTCCTTTGGGCAAAGGATACAGCACAGATCAGAAAATGCTTCAATTTAAGAAATACAGAGTTAACCTGAAATGCAATTATTTTATCCCTAATTTATGAAAGTACATGACTCAAAAATGTTACACCACAAGTATATTTAAAACGAAATGCCTTCACATGGTTACTCTCCCAATCAAGCTTCATTTAACCAAACCAAAAATGTACCAGATAATTTCTACACCGAGTTCATCATCACTTGACAGACTTTTAGGAAAACTATATAAATAGTAGAAACCAAAAAACTTGCTCTTTACTGTTTTCTAAGCATTTACAATTCTTTAAACATTTACTGAGCACTACTATATACAAGGCCTTTGCCAAAAATCACAAACTGGTAGCCCAAGGGCTGTATCTCATTTCCAAGTGCATTCTGCTCGAACCATGCAGTATTTTTAAATCAGATACTTTTCACAGGAATTCTGTTTTATGGCTTCCTTTAAAAAGATATCAGAATCTATGGCAATGGTGGGCATGCATTCCCACATGACAATCAACAATGAGCTGGGGCTGGGCTGTGGCCGTCCCTGTTAGATGAGGCCTGCTGCCTCCTGGAACTGGCTGCAATTCTTCCCGTTCCCCATTCCCGACTGCCCCACACAGCCAGGGCCGCCTTGTTCACCTCAGCTGTCCCCTATGCCCTGAGTTCATCTGAGTTTGCAACCTCTTCCATGCTGATATCATCGCAGAATAAATTCTCTATCTTACTATTAATCTATTAAGTTTCAGGATCTTATAGTCCAAATATCTAATATCCCTAAATCAAAAAATTTTTTAAAACACTTAAAAAAAATCATTTAAAACAAGTCATAAAGTTTTACAAGAATTACTTACTTAGGGTGATTTCTGTATTTTAACGGAGGCTCCACACTGACATCTTATGGATGGTTTTAAAATCTGCCTATTCAGTCCCTTGCTAAGTGACAAATTCATCATGATATCCCCATCAAAACTGCTGGTCTCATTCTCACCAACTCCAAAACATAACTTTTGATTATTTAGTTATGGAAATTAACAATAAAACAGACTGAAAGATACAATAGGAAATAAAGTTGCTGTCATTCACCCAAGTGGAATTTGTTAATATATATCCAAACTTCAGTGAACAAGTAAAAACAAAACTTTTTTGTTACAGAACCAAAGGTCAATGAAAAAATCTAAGTCTGTGGTATATGTTTCAGGCTATTTGAGTAAACAGTGGAGGTAAACCTAACAGTATCACCCACTTGAGCCGTGAGGGACATTTTGGCTTTACAGAATAGGGGTGACCCTTGAAAGGCATGGGTTTGATCTGTGTGGGTCCAATTATTCACAGATTTCTTCTGCCTCTGCCACTCCTAACCAGCTCCTCCTCAGCCTACTCAGGGTGAAGAGGGTGACAAAGCTGATGACCTTCATGATGATCCACTTCCACTTAATTAACGGTAAATCTATTTTTTCTTCTTAACATTTTCCTTTCTCTAGCTTACTTTATTATAAAAATACAGTGTATATAATACACATTACATATAACACACAACATATGTATTAATCGACTGTTAATGTTATAGGCAAGGTATCCGGTCAACAGTAGGCCATGGCAGTTAAGTTTTTGAGGAGTAAAAAGTTAGACGTGGATTTGACTGTGCAGGGGGGGGTCAGTACCCCTAAACCTCCCTTTGTTCAAAGGCTAACTGGGTATTTCTTCTCCTAATTCATCTATTCATAATTAAAACATACTGAGCATCTACAACATAAAAGCATCTGGGGGAATAAAAGAAATAACACAGGGACTATCCTTCATGAGTTTTACCTAGTAGGTGAGACGTACAGAGCCGTAACTACGGTATGCAGTCAGTACTATCTAAGGCCAATGTTTAAAATTACCAACTACATCTCCCTGCTTTTGCATCAAACCAAGTGAGCCTGTGGATAACAGAGGTCCAACCACCATACTGACACTTCTCCACAAAACAACGGGCTGCCTACTTAAAAGTTACACCATTCACCGTAAATATGCCCATTTTCAATGGCTTGTGTGCCCATGGAGCAAACAGGATATGAAATCACAACAATCATAAAATGACAGAACCAAAGGTTGATCCAACAAGTCCCTGTGGCTTTCCTTGTGCCTGTATCTAATGCCACTCCCTAAGCCTTGCAGGAGGATAAATGTGAAGGACTGTATGACGAATTGTGGACATTTTAGCCCACAGAATTAACTGTGGACCATGTAGCTCAGGACTCCTAATATTGCTCAGGATTGTTCAAAGGCATTTAATTTACATACAAGACCATGCCAGAAGGCATTTTCCTTCATGTGTTTCCCTATCAGTTAAGTTTATTTTCCTTCATACAAAGTAGTGCCTTTCCAACCTTCTAATTAAATAGATATTTGGGCAACGTTTCCATTGTTCAAATTGATGCCTTAAATAATTGCTCACTGATACCTAAGTAATAACTACTTATGAAGACTCAAGTCTTAGCACAGCTGTTGGAATATAACTGAAGCTCTGAGAATTATTAGTGTCCTAGCATTGCTATGCTAAGATGATATACCCTAATAATAGCCATCTGGGAGCTTCCTAGTTCTCATGGGAAACTAAGACAGGAGAGGGCGAGAGCAGATCCCTGGCTTCTTAGGCTGTAAGAAAAATTCTAGTTGCCAAGGAATTGCATCACCTAATATCAATTTAGTTGCATGTGTGGCCAGAAAAGCTTTCCCTCAATGGGTTTATCATAAGAAAGCATCATAATTTATTTAAACATTTTCCTATTAAAAATTTAGATAATTGCCATTTTTTCAATAAATACCCTTACGTATAAATCTTTGCTATCTCTATTACTTTAAGATAGATTCACAGAATTGGAATTTCTAGGTCAAAGGCTATAAAAACTTTTAAATTAAGCATGTTAACAGCTATTGGTAGCATTCTTTAATCTTTCCAATGTTTCTAAATGTTCTACAATGAGTATACAGTCACTGAAAAAAATCAGTTAGGTTCATAATATAAAAGTCACAGAAATTAAAAAGCTTTACTAAAGTATAAGTTCTTAAAGCAAAGCTTTATAATAATTCAAAACAGCTTTTACCATTAGAAAACACAAAAACGGAAAGAAAGATATTTTATTTCAATTGCCACCTGGCATACTTTGAGAGTGTCATAAGTAATATGTTCTGTCCCACTACAACAGGATATTAACTCCCAACCTGCTTTTAAGCAGAAATATAAAAAGTGGCATAGGTATATTAGTCAGAATATGCCACTTAAAAAGAGTCAGTTAAAGTAGCAAAAACTTAAGTCAGTGGTTCTTTTCGCCGCCAACTTATATTTATAAAACAAGCAAAAATCTCTCCTTTTTATAACCCATGAATAATAAAAAAAAACTTGTAAATTTTTACTATATTAAGGTGTCCTTAAGTTCTGAAAAGTAGGGAAATCTCCCATATAGGTTTTTTTATTTGTTTGTTTGGTTTTTTAAGCAATACACATCTGTCCTGGATACAGAGCTCAGAACCTGGCTGCAGTTTCCAGTTTCCTCCAAGACATTTTCTCTTAAATTTCACTTTTAATACTCCCTATCTTAAGACACACAGGACATCCCCTATGGGCCCAATTAGTGTTACTCTGGACAGGAAGTCTTAAGTTAGCATCTCTTGTCTTACAGTAAGGAAGCTTTTCAACCTCAACATAAATTCTACTTTAACACCTTGTAATTAATTCATTTTACCTACACGACAGCTGTGACACAACACCATCACTGACCTTCAACATCATGCCAGCTTGCTCATACGCTCTGCAAAGAGAACATAATTTCTCTGATGAGATCTTAATGAAATAAGGGAGAGGACAAACTTTCTGGTGAGGAACTACAGGTGAGGGAAGTGACTTCATTAAAACTGGCTCATGCACAACATATCACTTTAGGCTTGTATAACCACACAACGAAATTTTTTCTTCATCTTATTTTCATGGACAATAATGCCTTAGGAACATCAGACATCTGAGTTGAAGAGATTGTGCAGATGCAAAATTAAGTAAGGCTCAGAAAGGTTAAATTACTTTCCATTTGCCAAACTTAAATCTAAGTTTTAAAACAAATAAATACTCTCCACAAAAGCAGGAGAAGAAAGCTTCCTGCTTCTCTTCCACGGGCACTATTAACTATAAAGAAACAGGGGAAAAAAAGAGATTCTAACTTACATGTTTTTTATAGGCTACTGAACAAAATAGTCCTGAAAATATTATGCCAAATTTAATTTAAACACTGTATATCTGACAGGAGTGACTTAGTTTTTAAGGTTCAGGTAAAGACGGAAGCAAATGGAAATGACTATTTTATTTAAATCAATACAAAATTAATTCGCTATTTACAAATTTATAATTTGAGAAAAATTTTCTGATCTACAGAAAAACAGTAACATTTAAAACACAATCTGCAAATACATGAAATCACAGAGAATATTTACTTACTTGGCAGCATGAAAAAGACTGAATGGATGTAATGAAGTCAAAATTAAGGAAAAAAAGGAAATCAATAGTTTTTAAAGACCTGCTATTTAAAAGACAGTTTACTAAATCACTGACCAAGTTGGTTTCAAAGGACAAATCCTACAAACAGGTAAAGAAGAAATAATTCGGTGGGTGTTCATATCTCTTAAAACACCGTAATTCACAAAAACAATGACAAAACACCATATAGATTTTAAACTATATTATGTCTTAATCTGAAGAGTTTTACTAAATTTCAAAGTTATTTGATTATAATTTGCAAGTAAGATAAACATTTTTTTAATCACTAAGCTTTAAAATACCTTAAGACAATTTATTGTTTCTAACTACTTATAAATCTTATTTCAAATCCCTAAGGAAGACTGTATTTAAAAAAATTGATACAGCAGTTCATGCATTTTCAATACCTGTGCTACTTCTACATTCTTCAGCGAGTCTACAGATTTCCCTCATTTCATCCCAAGTAAGACCATCACAAGGAAAACCAGAAACAATGGAAAATGAATTCTCAAATGCAGCTCTGCGAATCAGTGTTGATCTTATCATATGTCACTATAAATGCTCCTTCAGAGTTTAAAATGCAAAATTTTTCTAATCATTTTCTATTTTAAAAACACTTTATTTCACAGGTAGCAAATGTATAACAAGAGAAAACAGTTTATCAAAATCATCTAATTGTTTAATTTCTTTTTAATGGCTGAAAAAGATACGCCCTATTATTTTCATGGGCAACAGCTTCCCTCAGGCAGGCATCTTTTGCTTGCTCAAACTGTTTGGCATTTTTAAAAGCAACAGCTGAAATAAAAAAGAATAGACTTTCTATTTCCGTCATTTAAAACCCTTAAATGAATCATTACTGAAATCTGTGTTTTGATTGAAAGACTGAAATACTTATTTCAATCAAATACTTACGAAGTTTCATAAAACTATAAAATACTATCTTTTTATGAAGCAATTTCTTTACAACTTTTCTGATTATCAATAATTTAGAATTTTCAAGTTGTTCTTTTTTTAATTATTGATCATTGGCAACAAATCAGTGCTACATTCACTCAAAATCAAAAAGTCTTTCTAACACCGACACTTCCAAACAGTCCCAAATAACAGATAGGTACTTCAGTCACAAAACACAGCATCTTACTTCACCAGTATTACATTTAATAACAAAAAGAGTGCTTTAGTTATAGCTCATTAAATTATTTAGAAACTGAAGACCAATCAATAAACACATTATTCTATAATAAATCTTCCTTTTGGCACAATTTTTAAATAAATGTCTGACAATGCATTTTTTAAAAGAAAGCAAAGTTTTTATACTGTTTAGCCATCTATGAAAATGACATCTCACTGTTCGAAGAGCTAAAGTACATTGCTAGCTGTTTTAAATGTATAATCCTCAAAGCAAAACAATTAGGAGTGGCTGTAAAATATGATCTTACAAATTTTGGAAAACTTACCGAAGGTTGCTTACAAAGAAGTAAAAAGCATAGTGCTACTGGAAAAGTGTTAAGTGTTATTTGTTAAAAACACTTAAAATTCTCTTTAATAAAATGTTGAAAACAAAAAAAAAAACTTTTCTCCCCGCTTTTCCATCTTAGTTTTTTAAAACATTAATTCTACTGATTAAATGTATTTTGCATAAACCCTTAAAGAAAACAAACCAAGGATGCTTTAATAGCAAAATCTGACCTAGAATATTTATTTTTGAATGTAGCTCATGGTCTCAGAAGCATATAAAACAAATACATGTTAAATTTCCTTCATAGAGGAGATTTGTGAAAAGTTGTACACTCTTGTTACAAAAGCATTCTCATATAAGGGGTCTATAAAATCTACATAAAGTTTGAACTTTTAGTAATTTTTAAAATGACATGTAAATAATTTACATAATGCCAGAGACAGAATTCACTCAGATTTAAAGTGCTAAAGACTCATGTGTCATCATTTCTTTTATCTAGAAAATAAACCCTACTTTATGCTGATTAGTTTCAATTGACCTTATTTCTCTTTTCTTTGGTGATATACTAAAACTAAAGTCTGTGCAAAAACACTTGCCTTAGGTGATCTCTAAGCTAGGCTAACAAATGTGATCACGACTATTGCTGAAAATGTGTGGAAAGTACTTCAAAATTGTGTTATACTTTATTTATACCCAAAATGATCACAAATATTCTGAGAGCTATCATTCGTAACTATTAACAAAAATGCTAAATTTTTAGTAAATTCCTTTCCTGTTACATATTTACAATTGTTTACATTTTACATACAGATAAATTTATTAAATTATGTACATAGCTTAACGTTTCATGAACATTTAACATGTATCTCAAACACATAATGTGCCAAACATACATGGTTTGCAGATAGGCTTAGGATGAGGCTAAGTCAAAAAAAAATTTAAAAGAAAACTCTTTATTCACTAACAGGAAGTATAATAGAGGAATATGGCAAAACTTATGGATGCAGTAAACAAATGACTGACACAGAAGAATACACGAACAATGCTAAAAACCTGCAGCTGTGTACCACCAACTCTACCCATCTCCACTGTTACGGAAGACAGGTACCAGGATCTACAACTCAGACCTCAACACATTCAAAAACAATTGAAAAAAAACACAAGGGCTTGTGCTGTTGTTTTGTTTTGTTTGTTTGTTTGGAAACATAAAAGTATCGTGCTGAGATGAAGTTGTCACATCACTTTAAGATTATACGTGGGAGCAACAAGACTATGGTCACAAATACCTGCTTTTCCATATTCAGAAGCAGCACTGTCATAATCTGGCTTCCATTTTAAAAAACCAGTTTTCAGGCTAGAATGAAAGGAAGACAAATTTAACAGAGTTACCAACCACATTTATACAACAGATCTCTGAAGCCATCAGGCACAAACTCCCCATTTTACCCACCTACATACACCCAAACGTATTAGTAACAAATACAACCTCACCTCTTTCCCTACCCGTCGCAGATGGGGTTTCCTCCCAGAGGTTCTCAATGCATGGTCCCCAGACCAGCAGCATCAGCATTACCTAGGAACTTGCTAGAAATGTAAATTGTTCACCCCACTCCAGACCTACAGATTCTCTGAGGTTTAACAAGCACAGAGATGCATTGAAGTGTGAGAACCTCTGAAGCACACTATTTTTAGCAGCTGGATTCATGAGATTTACGCTCAGAAGAGAGGCTAAAGACATAAATGGAGGACTCACCAGTGCATGCCACACCAAGAACATAGATAAGATCCCCTAGGGAGATTGGAGACAGGAGAGAAAGGCTAAGGAATACAATCATTCCGTGGGACAACAGAGGAAGTAGGCAATACAGAGTGAGAATTGGCCACCAATGAGCAGGAAGGGAACCAGAAGAGACTTGTATTATGAAAACCAAGAGAAACTGCTTTCTAGGATCACTACTGCCTTCTCAGATGCCCAATCAAAGAACAATCAAATTTGAGTCCTTATCAGACTTGCCTTTTCTGCAATAATTTATTTTCTTATTTTAAAGTAATTTCAGATTTAGTTTAAACTCATTCAGTGACTGTCAAACTTGGGTTTGCATAAGAATTGCTGAATATCATCTTAAATTTACATAAAACACTGTTTGCTTCAAATGAATCAGGGGAGCAACGTAACTGACAGACAGGGAATCCCCAAGACCCCTCAGAAGCGTGCCCTTCATTCTGTGACAACTGGGGGAGCTGCCCAGGAGCCCTAACTATTAAGTAACATTTTTTGCCAATTAAATTTAACGTGTCTAACATCTAAAATTTGTTTATATATACACTGTTACAAGATTCAAATTTGTAAGCAATTTTTCAAGCTTACAAAGAACTGCATTGCTCAGAAAAATTAAATCCTTAAATTGTAGTGTCTATTCTAATCCACAAAATTGAGGAAATATGCAATAAAGCGAAATTCTAACCCTCCAATCCCTACCCCAAAACACTCGTTACATTCTGTATATTAATGTAATTTTTTAAATCCCACAAAAAACAAGATACATTCAAACATGGAAAGACCCAGATATTTTAAAATACAGCAAATCATCCCCCATCAACTGAACACCACTAATTAGGAAGAAAGAAGTCAGTACAGTTAATTTAGGTTTAATGGCTATACCTGTTTGTGTTTTTGACTTTTTGTCCAGAGAGTCAATAAGGAAACTGATCAATTTCCATGGGGGGGTGGGGACACAAAACAAAACCAAACAACAAAACTCCATCTATGTTGGGGGATTAATTACAAATCTACCTGGCAATGTTGAGCTATATTAGAAAATTGAGAAAAATCAACTCTTTTCTCCTAAGCTCCTGGCCCATTTTTCAACTGCCACCTACTAAGCACTCTGTCTAGAGGATTTCAAACTAACACTTCAAGCTTGAATCCAACAGCCCTCTGCCCCAGCCCCACCCACCAACCATGTCCATTCATTTATATCCCCTATCTTGGCTGAAGGCCTCTCCTACTCCATTTCCCAAGTTAGAAACCTGGCAGTCAAGCCTTTACCTCTAAATCCAGGCAGGTCATTAAAGCATGTCAACCCTATTTGATAAATGTCACCCAATCTGCCCCCTCACTGTTACCTGAATTCAGTCCATCAACAGCTCTCCCACGCGGTCAACACCTACTAACCTGCCTCACAGCACCTTCAAGGGAGGGTCACATTTCCTGCTTTACCCTTCCCTTTCATTCCCCCGGGCCTGAGGATATTAACTTTCCACGCCCACTGAATACTTCTACCACTGAACACCTTCTTTTACTCATGTGTTCTCATCTGCCCTCCTGTGAGGAAGGGACCACTTTTGGTCACTCCAGGATCCCCGGTGGCTGATACAGGTACACAGCAACAACTTCGTAAATCTTTGCTTACTGAAAATGCCAAAGTTCTCCCTGCTCCCCTCCCCACAGTCCATTCTCCATATTACTGCCACGTTTATTTCACCAAAAGCAAATCTAATCAGGTCTACTGGTTATTCGATGCCTAAAAAAGCCAAAGTTCAGGGCCATGTAAAGGGCTACCCCTTCAGTTTGACCCCAACTTTTCTGGGCTCTAGCTCATCCCCCGACACTGCAACCGCACTACTTTCAGTGTTTTCCTGAGCACGTTTTGCAGGTCTGTGAACATACTACATCCTTTGCATAGAATCTCTCTCACAGGATTTTCCCTCTGTCTAAAAATTACTTATTTTTCAGGCCCTGCTCTGAATTCACCTCTATGAAACCTTCCTAGATTTCCTTAGGACGAATGAACTTCTTCCTCTGTGTTACCAATGCGCAGTTAATATATTAATAGGTATATTTACTGCACACACTATTCTAATTGTACTTTTGTGTCTGCTCCCACTAGAAAGTGAGATTGTTTTGGCAATCTCCTGCACCAAAAGGGCCCCAGTACCTTACACACTGCCTGGAAGAAACACGGTGTAACAGAAAAACCTCGAGTTTCTCCTGTTTGAAAACTGGCTTTGACATCTTTCAACTGTGCAGCCTTGAGTAAGTCATTATGAAGCTCCCCTAAACCTCATTTCCTCTTATGTAAAGTAAGAATCTGTATTTGGAAAGTTGTGAAGATCTCGGATGATGAAATTACGTATGTGAAGAACCTACCACAGGGCACGATACAGATGTTTCCTTACCCGTAAATGCCAGACAAAAATTCGTTGCAGTAATGAAATTGGGGGAAGGAGAGGGTCGAAAGGCAAAATTAAGGAGAATCAGTTCCGCTTCACAAATATCTGCTGGCGCCTACTGTGCCAGAAGGTGGCAAGCACACACACGTAAAAAGGAGTTGGGAAGGCACACGGCTCCTGCCTACAGGAACAGCACGACGGCAGATAAGGGTTCACCGAGGAATGTTCAGAGTAAATCTATAGACCCCTCAAACACAAGGAACTCTTTTAGAGCAGTGGCTCTCAACAGGACGAACTTTTTCTCTCAGGAAACACTGTGGCTGTCATACATGGGAGGGAGGCGGGGGGCGCGACTGGCATCTAGCAGGCAGAGACCAGGGATGCTGCTAAAGATCCTGCAGTGCACGGACAGGGCAGCCCCCACCACGAGGAGCCACCTGGTCCAGAGCCTAGGTGGACAAACCCTTTGCGGAGGAAAATCCACCGAACACTGCGCCGGAACGCCCTCCCCACCGACACCAGATCTGGCAGAGACTTCCGGCGGGGCGCACGAACCTCGCTTCCGACGTGCAGCCGCAGCGACCCCGGCCCCTGGGAGTCCGCCGCCGGGGACGCCGGGGTCCCGCAGTTCGCGGGCGTCAGTGCGCCGCGGCCCCCTCCCTCCGGGCGCCCTCTGCGACCCGCCAGGGTGCTGACTAAGACCGGGCCAGGCGGGGCACGGACCCAGCGTCCGCACACAGGCCCACGGTAGGCTCTCTTACTCACTATTTCTCTGCTTTGGCGATATGCTCCAGCCCCTCGTTTATCTTCTGAGCCGCCATGTCCACAGCCCGGACCCTGACGTGCGGAGAGAGCGAGGGCGCTGCCGTTCGCCAGGAAAGAACCCGGCCGAGTAGGCGTGGGAACGCCGAAAGGGAAGCCGGGACGGCGCAGCGGCCGAACGGCTACGGAGGGGCGGAGGGCACAAACCTGCTGCGGCGAAGCGGGCCCGGAGTCTGCAGGATCATCTCGCCGGGAGACATCGCGCAGGCGCAGAACGCCAAGGCTGGCCAGACGTGGGGCTCTTAGCGCAGGCGTGGTGGGACACTGAAGGGGAGGATGTTCATTCATTCAACGGATATTTATTGAGCACCTAATATGTGACAGGCACTGTTCCAGGCCCTGGAAAATAAGCAAGGAATATAACAGACAAAACCTCTCTCCTTCATAGAGCCTGGTTTTCTCATGCATGTGAAAACGCTGTGGGTCTTCTTTGTAGTTAGTTGGCCTTAAAATTTATTATATTGTTTCGCTGTACCGCAGCTAGAATAGTATTTATTCATTCATCCATTCTGCCTTCTGAGCGCCAACTGTATATCAGTCAATAAGCAAAACAGACTATAAGCCTGATAACTGTCAAATAATCACTTGACTATTTCAAGCTGTGATAAGTGCTCTGAATGCCAAGTTCAGGGAGTTAGAGTCTCGTGCCACGGTCTGGTAGAATAGTAGCCAGCAATACAATCGGCTCCGTTCGTAATTTACGGTGATTTTGATACCTACATGGATGGCTCCTGCAATGCCTATACAGCCTCTCAGTTTCCAACCTCCAGTGATCTTTTCTTACACCCAGCTCAGCCTCCTATTCCCAGCATCCCATCTTTGACCTTACTAGTAACTGCATGCCCTCTACAGTGTCAGTTCAAGCAGCCCACTTTACTTGCTTCTGCCATCCGGCTCATACCTCCCAGGGCCAGTAAGGCTTTGCCTTCAACAGATTCCTCGCCTTTTCCCTCTCCCTCTGCTCTTACTCACGCTGCCCTCTTTTCCCAGCATAAATTCCACATTCCAGTATTTTAACCATTCTTTTTCATATCCTTTCAATGTCCTTGGCTGTCCCGCCCTCCTTTCTCCTAGCCTGGAAAAACCCCAACTCTCCGCCTACTCTGGAACTTCTTGGGCAAGTGAATTTCGCTGGAGAAAAACAAAGCAGCATGCAGACGTGACTCATTTTAATGATCATAAACATCAAGCAGACCTTTAGCACTGCTGAGCAACTGTACTCCATTCTCCTCCTCAGATCACTCACCCACTCACTCTGATGGCTATTCACACCTTCCTTCTCAAACTCCACCAGTCTCTCTGCCAGCCTGCCAACTCTCTCTTCTCATTTAAAAGAATATAGCAATTAGAAGAGTTCTTCCATCTGGCCTCACCACCCAATCTACCATATACCTGCATCTATTTGCCAATATTCTGCCTTTTATCCCGCAACAGTGAGTGAACTGGCCTTGGATTTTCCTGTCTATCCTCACCTCCTTATTTAGTCTCATGGGTGTGAGTGCCACCCACGAACAAGGTCCCTCATCATTTGCTTGGGCTTCCTTATGTAAAGGCAGCAGCATCTCAAGAGGGTGAAAGTGGAACTTATAGGCTTCACAAGGCCTAGGCTCCAGCTGAACATCACTTCTGCCACATTCCATTGACCGAAGCAGGTCAGAAGGCAAGTTCAGATTCAAAAAGTGGGAAAATAGAGAAGTTGCAAAATATTGTGGCCATGACTTCCATTTCACCACAACTCTGGGATGATAATTCAGTGTAAGAGGACTGATGCTAGTGGAAAGCCTTGTATTTTAAAGTGAAATTAGAGCTAATAACCACCCAGTGCCATCACCCTCTAAAATCATCGAAAGTCCTCAGAAGTTTTTCTAAGAGATCTGCACCAAAAGCCTACAGCCTCCTCCTCATTCTCCCTCTTCACTCATTCATTATTGAATTATTCTCACTGAGCACCTGCTCTGCACAAGACATTGGGCCTACGTGTCCAGGACACAATGTTGAGCAAGAGACGTAATGCCTGCCTTCGTGGAATTTGTGATCTATGAGGGGACACAATATTTAACCTAATTTTATTTTATTTTATTTCAAATTTTATAAACCTTTGTTTATTTGCGTCAACAAAGAAAGAATGAGAAAGAAAACGAAAACCATGACAGCCCCCTGGCATTTGAGGGCTCTATGATCTGAAAGACCTTTGGCCAGGGAAGCTGCGTTAGTATGTGCTAGTTTGCACCCTCAGTAAAGGGGACAAGAGGAGGGACATTGGGGACAGTACAGGACGCAAATGCCCGCACTTCCTTCCTTTCCCCTTCTCTTCATACAATAAGATTGAGGTAGGAAGTAAGCGAGGGGAATTTAAACTGAGAAGCCAGCTTGGATGGGCTGAGAATGGAAAGCCTGGACCCGGTGACAACAGACTGAGATGTTAGTTTCCCAAGCTAGACCTGACAGCATAATTCAGACAATGGTGACCCATAAAACTAATTCTTGCTGTCACAGCAGCTACCACTAGAACCTGAGCAACAGTTGTCTCTGTGACTTCTGCTCATCTCTTACTTCCTCTCCCGGGCCTCTTCAGACACTTAATGTGCCCTCCACCTACCCACCCACCTAAGCTGGCTGGTGATCCCATCTGAGCCAACCTTTTCTTTCAGTTCTGAAAATTCCTTTTCTTTGTCCTGTCTCAATAAAAATGTACATTCCCAAGATACTCTATTTGTTTTGGGTGTGACTAAAATGATTCACATCAAAGTACGAATAACACTTAAAACAGAGCTCGTTCTCTAATGGTGGGCCTAAGTTCTTTGAGCCTGGGTCTCTGGGTTCCTTGTCTACACAAACCCGCTTCCCTCCCCTAGCCTAGTCTGCTGCCAGGAAACAGAATTCTTGGACCCACCTCCCTCGGCTGAATATTCAGTGGAATAAAGGGTCTTTGTCATTGCTTGGAGAGGGGGTTTGGTTGGTCAAATGAGTTCTGACTATTTCAACCTGCAAAGCATAAATGGGGAAGCATAAGAGCCCCCATATCATTATGTCGTGTTTGTTTGTTTAATTGCTAGTACCTTAACAGTGTTATTTTATCCTATTCTTTTTCCCCAAATGTACTGCTGCTTTATACATTAGATACACTTCTGTGACCTGGCCCAAAAGTTTAGCCACGAGTCTTAAAATCATTTCTCTGGGAACATATATTCTGAGTTATAAATAGCAAATTTACAAATAAACTTTTGGAACAAATTCTGTTATCATTTGATGGGTTCGTCTCATTGGAACAGGGTTTTAGAACATTAGTCTTGGCTTTTGTTTGGAGAAAACCAGTAGAAGCCATTATGATTGGTATCTTTTTTTTTTTTTTTTTGGTGAAGTATTAACAAATACATTGGTTTAAAAAATCGCCCCTCAATCTCTCTGAGATTGCTATGGAGAATTCTTTCTCCAGATTCCTGTGCCAGTGCCCGCCCAGCAGCCCCGCGGGGACATCTGAGATGGCAGGCATGACCTGCCCGAGTCTGCTCTCCCTTCAGTCCCACCACGTTGGTTCGTGGCAACTTCATTCTCCTCACCGCCCAGACACGTGGAGCCATCCCTGACTGCTCTCTTCCTCTCACACCACAACCGATCTGTAGGAAATTCTGTTGCCTCCACCTCCAAAAGGTGCCCAGAACCAAACTCGTCTCCCCCTCCACGGCCACTGCGTGGCAGGAGTCCCCAAGGCCTGTTACCGCACCAGCCTTCTGGTGAAGAGGCCCTTGCTGCCCTGCCCATGGCTGTCCTCCTGTGCGAATCCTGACCCAGCAGCTAGAGGACCCTGTTCAAACAGATCATGTCCTGTCCCTCTCCGCTCAGAACGCTCCAGGGACTGGCGCCGGCGTCCCAGACCAGAGCTGACCTCAGCCCCTCCCGCACACCCACCGCCTCTCCTGCACTCCCGCCACGCGGCTCCCACACTTCTCGTCACACCAGGTACCTGGGCTTTCCCCGCCTTTCCCTCCGTCTCTCCTGCTCTAACCTTTCACAGTATCTTTATTTTTAATTTTAATTTCTTCTTCTTTTCAAATGAATTTCAAAAACAGTAAAAGAGCAAATGTGCGACAGGGGAGAGAGACCACAGGAGCCAGTCCTCTCGCCTCACTGTGGACAGCGCAGACTGGTGTCACCCGACCACAGCTGTCCCCGCTTCAGTGGGGAGGAGCTGGGAGTGGAACCCGCACCTCGGAGCCTGCCTTAACTTCCGGGCGCCTGATGGAGGCCGGCAGCTGAGACCCCACTACACTCTGGGAACCCTGGGAACCATTTTCCAGAAACTCTACTGAGTGCTTCAGAACAACTATTATTATCCCATTTCATATATGAGCAGACTGAGGCTCGGAGAAGCTAAGCACCTTGCCTAAGGTCACACGGCCGGTCCATGGGAAGGTAGGGACTTGAACCCAGAGCCACCTGACTACAAAATCTATACTTGGCCCACTGTACTGGACTGAAAAACGGTCTCTGTTTTGTAGTAGTTTAGTAACAGCTCACACAACACCTCTGCTTAGTTGCATGGACCAATTATAGATTTTCAAGTGTTATTAAAGAAAACAAAACACAGTGTGTTTGCTACATTCCTGGTACTTTGCTGCTTACCTAGTTTGAAACTTCAGTAACGATTGAAAGATTAGAGTTGGGAGTTTATTAGGTTCGACTGAAGTAAGTTACCAAATGAAAAACGGGAAAGAGGCATGCCTAAACGATCTAACGGGCTTGTTCTGCTGGGAAGACCTGCTTGCGGACAAGATGTCTCTCTGTCCTCGCTGGGAGTCTGTGGTTCTCCCCGTCAAACACACGGTGGCACCACGTGCACGCGCCTTTACAAGCCACGGGGCGGCCAAGCAGAAGCGGTTACTGCTGCTTGGGATTTCCGAGCCAGATTCTGGCAACACTGCACATTCGTAACTGAACTTTCCACGTAAAAGTGATCTCTCCCGCTGTTTTGTACACAAAGTTAAGCAGCGTTGCCCGAGTACAGTAAAGCTGGGAAGGGCTGATGTGTTCAAAGTGCTTAACCAAAGATCTCTGTTACATCCACGTTAATGAACACAATTGTTTTGATGAGTATTATTTTTAAAGAGAAAGAGATAGAACTTCCTTTAC